CTACAGCCTTGGCCCCGCCCTCACCCTCCTTCCATCTCCTCTACAGCCTTGGCCCCGCCCTCACCCGGCTTCTCCCATCACTTCTACAGCCTTGGTCCCGCCCTCACCCTCCTTCCATCTCCTCTACAGCCTTGGCTCCGCCCTCACCCTCCTTCCATCTCCTCTACAGCCTTGGCCCCGCCCTCACCCGGCTCCTCCCATCACTTCTATACCTTGGCTCCGCCCTCACCCTCCTTCCATCTCCTCTACAGCCTTGGCTCCGCCCTCATCCCTCTTTCTATCAACCTTACAGTTTTGGCCCCGCCCTCACCCCGCCTCCCACCACCTCTACAGCCTTGGTCCCGCCCTCACCCCTCCTCCCAACACCTCTATAGCCTTGGCCTGTTCTCCTTAACCCCTACAACCTGGCCCTTGTTTCCTTACCACCTCACCCAACCCTCCACGCCCCTCAGCCCTGGCCATGCTGCCCCTCTGGCTTCGCTTCTCCAGCATCCATTGCTTTATAAACCTGGTCCCTCTCCTCCTCCCCAACAGCCCAGGAGAAGCTTCGCACCCCACAGTCACGTTAACTGAGACCACCTGCAGTGGGATTGACCTCACTGACCAGCCCCCTAGCCCCTTCCCTCTCTCTGCTCCGCCCTGGCGTACCAAAGCCCTTTTTGTCCCCTCAGGTACGCCCCCGAGTCTCTCTCGGACAACGTCTTCTCGCGCCAGTCCGATGTCTGGAGCTTTGGGGTTGTCCTGTACGAGCTCTTCACCTACAGCGACCGGAGCTGCAGTCCCTCGTCCGTGAGTGACTCCTGGCCCGACCCCTCCCTTGGCCCCACCCTCTAATCGCCCCTGTCTGCGCTAGACTCCCTCTGCCCAGGGTCACCCATGTCCCCGCCCCCAGCAGGGAGGAACCTCCCCCCCGTGGCTGTCATCGCCCGACCTCGGGCAGCTCCCTCTCTCCTCCAGTGTATTCGACCCCTCCCCCATTGGGGTGCTCCTCCCTCCAGGAGTTCATGCGGATGATGGGGTGTGAACGAGAGGCCTCCGTCCTCCACTGCCTCCTGGAGCTGTTGGCCAAGGGCCAGAGGCTGCCCGCACCCAGCGGCTGTCCCTCTGAGGTGAGCATTGCAGGGCCTGCCTCGGTTTCCCAGATAGCTTGGAGGTCATTCTCTTGGATCACCTTTGTTGGGAACAGGCACAAATATGGATCTCTTCTAGTTGATTGGCTGTGTGGCTGACTTCCAAACTTCTTGCCCTACAAGAATGACCACTTCCAGCATGTGTTGATTATCTCTGTTGGCATTCTGACATATTCATATTATGAAGGCGAATGTTTTCAGTGCAACTTGAACTTCTTCCTTTAATTAATCCTATTACTTGTTGTTATGCTACCTCCTGAAGTTTTTGAGCATTGGCCAATTATTTTTGGTATAGTTGTTGTTATGTGGTGTCGAGTAGCCTGTGACTTATAGCGACCCTAGGTACAGCAGCTCTGAGGCCTGTCCTGTCCTGAGCCAGTCTCACTAATTCCAACACACCTGCCCCCATTACCCTACCTACTATATCAGTCCATCTCATCTGGGTCTTCCTTTCCTGCACTGTCCCTCCACCCTTCTGAGCACTATATCCTTCTCCAAGGTTTGGTCCCTCCTGCCCATATGCCCAAAGTATGTGAGACAGAGCTTCAAAATCCTAGCCTCCAAGGAGAAACTTGGTTTCACCCTCTCCAAGACAGATCTATTTGTTTTCATGGTGGTCCATGGTAAATTCAAGACTTCTCCAGCATCACAACTCAAAGGCATCAATTCTTCGGTCATCCTCAGTCTCTGTCCAGCTCTCTGATGCATAGCAAGCAATTGGGAAGACTATGGCCTGAATCAGGTGCACGTTAGTTTCTAGCCTGACTTCATTGCTTCTCAGGACTCTGGAAAGGTCCCGGACAGCAGATTTACCCAGTGCAATTTGTCTTTTGATTTCCTGACTGCTGGTGCCAAGAGTGTTGATTGTGGAGCTAAGCAAGCGTTGGTGTAGTAGCTTTGTGTATTCCTTTCTTCTTTTGCTATTTCCTGCATCATTCAAGGAGCTCTTGTGGTTCTGTGGTTAAAAAGCTCTGGTTGCTTTGTGGTAAAGAATTTCACTGCTAATGCAAAGATTTGCAATTTGAATCCACCAGCTGCTCTGTGGGTGGAAGGTGGGCAGTCTCTTCCTGTGCAATTTACAGCCTCTGAAAACCTACTGGAGGGTCAGCTATGGATCAGTTCCAACTTGACAGTACACAACAACAATCACCACAACCTGTTGGGTAGCAGTTTGAACCCACTTGTCCCTTCCATGTATGGTGAGGGTTTGCTTCATCCTGCAGGATTGCTGTGAGCCAGAGCCAACTCCATGGCAGGAGGTTTGATTTTTTAATTTTGTATTGTTCAACTTTTTTGCTGCAGAATCCTCCACGTCAGTGCTGTTTGGACTTCCTCCTCCATTGGTTCTTAATCATATGCTACTTCCTGAAATGTTTCCTTGTCGACCAATTCTTTTTGGTCAGTGACTGTGAATTTTTTCCATCTTCTTTTGATACTTCCTGCATCATTCAAGATATTGCCCATAATTCTTTAGTGTTGCATTTTTTTTTTTACTCAGTTGTGGAGTTTATTAGGGAAATAGGTTAGGAGTAGGGGAGGCAAAGAATATCATATATTGCAAGTCCAGGTTTAGTCTAGCAGTCCCAAGCCAGATTAACAAGACACAAATCCTCAATTAGTCAAAGTCCAGGTTCAGTTCAGTAACACAAATGCAAGGAGCCTCTAGTTTCCTCAATCATCCAACAAACTTTATCTCAGAGCAGTTACAAGTGAGATTTTTCTTCAGTCATCCAACAAGCAAAACCTTTAACTGTGGTCTTTATCTCCAGGTTTCCTCTGGGTACACCTTGCCACAGTCTATTCACAGCAGTACGATAGTTTCTTCACAGTCTCTGCACTACCATTACTGCCCTGTCTCCAGTCTCTTCATCATTGTCTCTCACAATACGGGAAGTGTTCTTTTACATTGGTCTCCTGGTTGTTGATGGTTTACAAGACCATTTGTCTGCAGTTAAAATAGCTGGAGACCAGGCCCCTCAACAGGGGCTAATGCAATGACTAGAAAAACCAATTTTTCAAGAGTTCTGACACCTCAATGCTTTATATACATTAGGGGACCTTTGTTGGCCCCTGCCAGCCCAAAGGCACACAGTTTGAATCTCCTTGCTGCTCTGCAGACAAAGATGGGCAATTTACTCTCTTATGCCTTAGAGCCTCTGAAAACCTACTGGAGAGTCAGCTATGAGTCATTTCCTGCATCACAGCACATGACAGAAACAAAAGGTTCTTTTGAAATAATATGAGATAATATTTGTCTCAGTCTTATTGCTGTTAAGTCAGAACTGACCAATAGCTGGCACTTCAGCCAATTTCCAAGTAACATTATTTTAAAAACCATTTATCAGATGAAGGAATTGAGGTCCAGGGACTTGATTTTTGTCCAGAGACAAACAGCTATCAATAAAATGGAGAAGCCAGAATTAGCACATAGGTCTGTTTGACTCTGGTAACTTGTTTGACACAGTTCCTGTTCTCAACAAGTAAGTGGAGAGTTTAAACACAGGAAAACAAAGTGAAATGAATTTTTCAGTCAAGAGTTAGGAGACTTTCTGAGGAAACACAAAAGAGAGAACATTTCATTTTATTCAGAGGAATAAGAGTTTGTTAGATGGAGAGATAGTGTATTCCATGTGGAAAGATGCATATAAGAAAAATCCCTCCTTTCTACGAAGATGACGACGAAAGCAAAGAAGGAAGCACCTGGCCCCTCCCAAAACTAAAGCCAAAGCAAAGGCATTAAAGGCCAAGAAGGCAGTCCTGAAGGGCATCCACAGCCACAAAAAAAAGAAGATCCACATGTCACCCACCTTCCGGCAGCCTAAGACCCTGAGTCTCTGAAGGCGGCCCAAATACCCCCGTAAGAGTGCCCCCAGGAGAAACAAGCTTGACCACTATGCCATCATCAAGCTTCCCCTGACCACTGAGTCAGCCAGGAAGAAGATAAAAGATAACAACACACTTGTGTTCATTGTGGATGTCAAGGCCGACAAGCACCAAATTAAACAAGCTGTAAAGAAGCTCTGTGACATTGATGTGGCTAAGGTCAACACTTTGATTAGGCCTGATGGAGAGAAGAAGGCTTATGTTTGATTTGCTCCTGACTATGATGTTTTGGATGTTGCCAACAAAATTGGAATCATCTAAACTGAGTCCAGCTGGCTAATTGTAAATACAAATTTTTCTCACAAAAAGAAAGAAAGAAAAGAAAAATTCTGTAAATGCAGCGGATTTTTAATGAGCAATCTGGTTTGGTCAATATTTAGATTAATACACTATGACACTGATGTCTCAAATATGTTAGTGGTTACCCATGAAAGACAGTGTTTGGTGGCGCTCCCCGATTACAACAAGCCTGGAAGGAGGAGTGGCATCCAATTCCGTAATGGCTTGCCTCTGGAAACCCTATGAACCTGGAGAAAGGATGAAAGTCACACAAGTGTTGAGGACTTTAGTTCATAGGGTCACTATGAGACGACTCAATGGCACTTAACAACAATAACACCAACATAGTGGGAGATCAGTTGGCCGAGTAGAGAGAAAGTGATGCTACCAAGATAAAGGGGGGTGACTTCTAACTGGCGGCCCCCAGGCCTGTTTTTCATTGTTTTCGTTCAAACATTCTTCTAGGTGGTATAGCCCTGGTGTGTCCACTTGCTGTACAGAAGTAACAGTGGTTGCTGTGAAGCTGAACACTGTGACACTGATGTGTCAAATGCATTTATGGTTACCCCTGGTGGACAGTGTTTGGTGGTGCTCCCCAATTAAAACAAGCCTGGAAGGAGGAGTGGCATCCAATTCCATAATGGCTTGCCTCTGGAAACCCTGTGAACCTGGAGAAAGGATGAAAGTCACACAAGTGTTGAGGACTTTCATTCATAGGGTCGCTGTAAGTTGTCTACGACTCGATGGCATCTAACAACAACAACAACATAGGAAAATAGTCAAAGATAAGATTAAACATGATTCTTGGGACTACCATTGGGATCTATTTTTTAGACAAATAGAAATTTCTGAAGGTTTTATACAAGAGTGAGACCTCAGTGGTTCAGATCATACCACTGAACAACCTAACCCAGATCATCTTTAAAGGAGTTCAAGGCAAGACCCAGTTAGCGTTGCAACTTGAGGCTTAAATTTGTTCTTCAGGTCTTTCTACTTGAGTGATGCTGTGCGTGTCCTTACCTTTTGGTTTTCTAACTCTAAGCCTTTGCACATTTGGTTAGAATACTGTGTCTTCTCAAGTCACCTTTTGAAATCACCCATTCCGGTTTTTTACTTCATTTCTTCCATTCATTTTAATTCCTCAGTGGTCAAGAACAAGTTTCACGGCATGTCTGAATAGTGTGTTCTTTTATCAGTAATTTACACAGCCAGACATGCAAAAGTATTGTCTTCCCTTTCAATGTTTTTGATGTGTGCTAAGGTTTTTTTAATGGTAAATCATCATCAAAGGTGACTACAAATAAAACTTCCATGAACTAAGAAAAAAAAAGAAAAGAGCAAGTTTCAGAAATCTCACATCCCTTTTGGTCCTTCCTTCTTCCTCTTTCCTTCCCTCTGAGTCTCCCTCCCTCTTCCCCCTCTCCCTCCCATCCTTTCTTTTTTTCTGTCTTCTTCGTGACTTTCTGTTTTCTTCATGTTTAATATTCTTAATGCCAACCCATAAGTCACCTGGTCTTCATTCAGTTCATTGGGTCAGATCTATTCTTGAGATGGTCTCTAAGTTCAAGGTGAAGGAGCCTTTATGGTGTAGTGTGTGACATATCAACAGTTCAAATCAACCAGCTACTCCTCCGGAGAAAGATGGACCCTCTCCTCCCATAAAGATTTACAGCCTTGGAAAATCAATTGCAGGCTCACCATCATTTAGAACTGACTCAACACTCAACAGCAGTGGGGATGCTCAGGATACTTCGAGACTCATGGATTTAGTTTCATTTTGCTCAACTTCGACTGAATTTACATATGAACAATGGTGGTCTATTTCACAGTCAGCTGCTGGTCTTGTTCTGATGATATTGAGCTTCTCCAATATTTCTTTTTACAGATGCATTTGGTATGATTTCTGTGTATTTCTTATTGTAAGACACATGGCTATGCTGTTGCTCGTGTTAGGTGCCAGTTGAGTTGATCCTAACTGATTGCAACCCTGTCTATGTACAACAGATTGAAACCCAGCAACATCTTCGCAGTGTCCACTGTTCTCAAGCCCATTGCTGCAGTTACTGTATCAATCCATCTCACTGAGGTCTTCCTCTCTTGCTCTGACCTGCCACCTTTTCAAGCATAATGTCTCCTTCCAAGGACTGTCCATGCCTGATAACATGCTCAGATTATGTGGGACAAAGTCTTTCCATCCTTGCCTTTAAGGAGCACCCTGGCTGCATCGATTCCAAGACAGATTTGTGTGCTCTTGTGGCAGTCCACAGTATATTGAATACTCTTTGCCATCATCATAATTCAAATGCACAATTCTTTGGTCTTCCTTGTTTATTGTCCAGCTTTCTCAAGCACAAGAAATAATTTGGAAAAAATAACACAAAATAAGTAGTTGCAAATACCATGGCTTGGGTCAGGTGCACCTTAGTCTCTAAAGTGACATTGTTACTCTTTATCATTTTTTTCTGGGGGAGGAGAAAAAGAAATTTAAGCTTTGATTAGTAATACTCTAATCCTTAACCCTAAAGTATTTTTTTCTTCATTGAGTTCCTAGAAAAAACCTCTTTATCAATTTAAACAGGTCCTTGACAGCAGATTTACCATATGCAATACCTCTTTTAATTTTTTAACTATTGCTTCCTTAGTAAATAAAATCCTTGATAATATTTTCTATGCATAGCAAGTGAATATGAATCTTTTTTTTCCATTTATCAGGAGGTTGGCTAATGGTCCAGTTGTGAGGATATTTGCTTTTCATGTCTGGCAAACTCAAACTCACTGCTGTCAAAGTGAGACCTACTCATAGTTGACCCTCCAGCAAGTTTCCAAGGCTATATACATCAATCAGGAGACTGCTCATCTTTCTCTCTCAGAGCTGCTGGTAGATTTGAACTGTGAGAAAGGTGGATAGGCTTTGGGTCAGCAATGTGACTCTCTAAGATTAGACAACCAAAGCTCTCTTCCATGACTATTGTTTTTGTTTGCCATCAAATACAGAATGACTCATAGTGACCCTATGAACAACAGATCTGAATCCTGTCCTATCCTGTGCCATCATCATCATCATCATCTCTGACACACTCGAGCCCACTGCTGTAGTCACTACCATGAGGGTCTTTCTCGCTTTCACTGACTCTCTACCTTTCTAAGCATGATGTCCGTTTCCAAGGAACAGCCTCTCCTAACAATGTGTCCAAAGTACGTGAGATGAAGCTTCACTATCCTTGCCTCTAAGAGCGCTCTGGCTGCACTTTTTTCTAAGACTTCTGTTTGTTCTTTTAGCAGTACATTGGATATTCAGTACTCTTCTCCAACATTACAGTTCAAAGGCATTGTTTCAGCTTCTGTCATTCTTAGGCATTGTTTAACTCTCACTGCACAGCAAGTGATTAAAAAGACCATGCTTTGAATCAGGTGCACCTTAGTCTTCGAACTGACATCATTGCTCTTCAGTAATTTGGAAAGGTCCCTGACTATGGATTTTCCAAATGCAGTATGTCTCCTGAGCTCCTGACTATAGGCACCAAGGGTGTTGATTGTGGATCCAAGTAAGATGAAGTTGGTAACAGTTTCAGTATTTTCTCTATCATGATATTGTTCCATTATGGCATTTGTGACCCCAATGGCACAAGATTCAGTGTCACAGCAAACCTAGATTACCTCAGCACAGCAAATTGACCAGAGTGCTGTATGATTTAGAAGTTCCTCCAAAATATAGTAAAAAGGGATTAAAATGTATTCCCTCAGGCCCAACTTTTAAATACAAGGGCCCTCCAGGAGGTCTTGTTGACCCTAAACAATAGGTTTAAATAAAAACCAACCACACAATCCACACAGATTCTCAACCAAAACAAAAGCATTATTTTACAGAGTCCAGCCACTTAACCCAACTCCAAAACGGAGACAAGGCCCTGGCATATGCTGTTGTTGTTTTTAAGTGCTATCAAGTAGCAACCCTATAAAACAAAAGGCTTTAACCCTGTTCTTTAACTATTGTCCTTTCTCTAAGCTCATAGAATTTCCATAGGCATGTTTAGGAAGTAGAGGTCACTCCTGCTTCCAAGCCTGTCTTAATCTGTGAGCTCCCAACCATTGCCAACCATGTGTAACCATTATGGCATTTGACATACCACTGGCACACCATTCAGTATCACAGCAACCCCAAATTACCACCATAATGGCTACCCATTGTGGGCAAGGTTTGGTGGAGGTCACAGATTGATTCAACTTTGGGAGCAGGAGTGGCATCCACTTCCTAAACCATATGCCTCTGGAAACTCTATGAACTTGGAGAAATGACAATAGTTATGGAAAGGCTTCAGGTCTTTGTGCACAGGGTTGCTATGAGTTGTGCTTGACTCGACAGCAATCAAGAACATCATGATTTTGCAGGAGAAGGATGGACAATCTCCTCCTGTGCAATTAACTGCCTCTGAAAACCTGCTGGAGGGTCAGCAATGGGTTGGTTCAGACTTGATGATACACAACAACATTATGACATTGCTTGTTGTTCCAGTGAAAAGAGTGTTTATTTTATTTTTTATTGTATTATTTTTATGTGTACCATCAAATCAGATCTGACTGGTACAGGAGGAGATTGTCTCCTTCTTCTCCAGCAGAGCATCTGGTGGATTTGAACCGCATACCTCTGGGCTTGCAGTGCAGCGTCTTGCCACTAGGCCACCAAAGCTCCCAGAGAGTGTTTATTTTTTTAAAAAGACATTTGCAATGAAAAGTTATTGGTCTTGCACAATGCTGTCATTCCCTCACCAGCGTTCTATCAGCAAGATCCTATTTTCCATCTGTTTATCCTTTCTTTATTTCCAACTTTCACACATTCCAATAATCAGTAATTATCAATGCATCTGTTTGTTTGTTTGTTTGTTTTTATTGTTTTTTGTGTGTGTACCGTCAAATCAGATCTGACTGGTACAGGAGGAGATTGTCTCTCTTTCTCCAGCAGAACATCTGGTGGGTTTGATATCAATGCATCTTGATTGCACGTCTCATAAATTTCAAACTGTGGGAGTTAGTGAAAAGTCTTCAATTTCTTCATCTCTGGCATTAGAGATTGGTATGCAAATGGAATACTAATCATATTAATTGGCCGCCTTTGTAGGCTTTGTGATATCATCCTATCACTCACAGGGAGAGATCTTGAAATGTTCTTTTTTGAGAATGGTTGCAATGCCATTCCTCTTTGGTTTACCAGCACATAAATGTGAAAATAATGTGAAAGAACTTTTCAGGGACAGTAAGTGCCTTGGAAGGGATGGCAGAATGTGACATGGGATAAGTTTCTTAGACGGATATCACTGAGGTGTGGCCTGAAGGAGTAGGAGGTCTGGGAGAGGTCATTCCTGGGGGAGGGGCCAGTACAGAGACCTGGGGGGTAAACGTGGTCAGTAACAGCGAGATGGAGGCAAGTCTGACTGTAGTGGAACCTGTGAGAATGAGACAGGGAGAGAGAGATGAGGCAGAAGAGGGGTTGGGATTTTGTTTCAGGAGGCACAGGGAGCCGAGGGCCGATTTAGAGCAGAGGAGGGATGAGGTCTCATTTATGATTTAGAGTTGCAAACAGGACTCACCTTCCTCCGATTTGGTCCTGACCCCTTTGCCTCCTTCCCCCTCCAGGTTCACGATCTTATGAAGTTGTGCTGGGCCCCCAGTCCACAGGAGCGGCCGTCTTTCAGCGCCTTGGGCCCTCGGCTGGACTTGCTGTGGAGTGCCACCAGAGGGTAGTGACAGGGAACATGAGACCTTTGCTTCCTGGCTTGTCCTAAGGGTGAACCTTGTACCTTATTCTTTGAAGATCTCCTGCAGACTTCCACTGCTGGCTGCGTGACCTCGGGCCGGGAGCCACCTCTCTGGGCCTCAAAGGATTCATGAATGGTCCCTTTTTCACAGAGACCCCCTCCAACTTTGCATGTTGGAAGTATTACTGGCTTGAGGAGTAATGGGGACCTTGTGACCTTTGGAACTTGTTGAGATTCAGGGAGATGGTTGGTGAGATCCCTGAGCCCACTCGACACAGAAACAACGGTCCAGTTTAATCCCCCTGTGTCCTCCAGTCCCCACAACCTGGTTCAGAGTTTCCGGTCTCGTTCCTAACTTCGGCTAGCTGAGTTACCTGGAGCTGCTTTAATAGTTGTTATGTGCCACTGAGTCAACTATGACTCACAGAGACCCTAAGAACAACAGATCTGAAGCTTGCCTTGTCCTCTATGAACTTTACCCTCTCTGATAAGCTCCAGCCCGTTGTTACCGTCACTGTGTCAATCAATCCACCTTGTTCAGGATCTTTCTCTGACCCTCTGCTTTTCCCAAAGACTGACCCTACCTGATGGGCCCAAAGTGTGTGAGACAAAGTTTCACCATCTTTGCCTCCACAGAACACCCGGATGCACCTTCTCTGAGACTCTAAGTTTGTTGTTTTGGAAGTCCATTCAGTACTCTCCTCCAACACCACAACTGAAAGGCATTTATTTATTCTTCTGTCATCATTATTCAGGGTCTAGCTTTCACATTCATAGGACGTAATTGTGTAGGAAAATATGGCCTGGCTCAGGTGCATCTTAGTCTTTAAACTGACATCCTTACTCTAGTGCTTTGGAGAGGCCCTTGAGGGCAGATTTCTCCAACACAACCCCTCTTTTGATTTCTTGACTGCTGTTACCAGGGTGTTGATGAATCCGAGTGAAATGACATCCCAGAGATTTAACAAACAGAGGTTTACTTACTTTCTCATTTTCCAGGAGGCTGCAGCCTGTGGTCAGGTCTGTGTTCAGGATGCTGTTTAGAGGAAGGGCCTATCTCTTCCCCTTGCTTCCTGCTTCCTTGGAGATCTCCATGAAGCTGGGCACCAATGATTTTGCTTGTTTAATCTCCTTTACATCCCAAAGAGATTCACTGAAGATTAAACCCTCCACTAATCCTGCCTCATCAACATAACAAAGACCACACATTCCCAAATGGGATCATAATCACAGGCATGTTGTTATGTGTCCTCAAGTCACCTGTGATTCATAGCGACCTCAGGCAGAATAGCCCTGAACCCTGGCTCGAGCCTGAGCCCATCTCATTGTCTCCAACCTACCTGCCTCTATTGCCCCAGTTATTGTGTCAATTCATCTCATCTGGGGTCTTCCTTTCCTGTGCTGACCCTTCCAACATGATGACCTTCTCCAAGGACTGGTCCCTCCTGGCAACATGCCCAAAGTATGTGAGACAGAGCTTCAAAATCCTTGCCTCCAAGGAGCAGCCTGGTTTCACCCTCTCCAGGACAGACCGTTAGTTCTGTTGGCCATCCATAGTATGTTCAATACTCTTCTCTAGCACCACAGCCCAAAGTCATCAATTCTTCTGGCATCATTAGTCATTGTCCAGCTCTCTGATGTTTAGCAAGCAATTGCGAAGACAATGGCTTGAACACACGCCACGCATAATCGCAGTCACAAGCATAGAGTTTAGAATTTCTTTTTTTTTTTTAGGGGACACAATTCTGTTCATAACATGGCTTGAATTATGTGGTTCCTGATTTCTGAGTCCTCATCTCTGATTGATTGCCGTTAGCGCCATTGAATCGAATACGACCCATAGGGACCCTATGAACGACAGATCTAAACCCTGTCCTGTTCCGTGCCATCCCCCTGTTGCCTGATAGACGAGAGCCCGTTGCACCAGTCATTGCATCAATCCACTTGGTTGAGCTGCTTCCTCTCCTTTGCCAACCGTTTATCTTTCCAAGCATGAAGTCCTTCCCCAGGGAACAGCCTCTCCTAGCAACGTGGCCAAGCATTCCTCTGACTGCCAGAGGAAGCCAACAAGAGCAGCTGCCTCAGCTGGGAATTTGCTGTGTTTTGGGAGGTGGAGAGCATATGCCTGTCTGGAAGGAGGCAGGGAGGCTGGCATCCAGAAGCCCTGCAGGGCCCTGGACTTCAGACTCCCCCCTGTACAGTCCTGTATGAGCTGATCCTCTGGGTCATCACACGAGAGCCTGGGGGGAGCTTTTCAGGCAGTCGCGGGACAGGAAGGCATTTCTGGCATAGAGTCGAACACTCAGAATTCAGAGGTCAAGCACTTGGGTGCTTTGGTCCACTGCCCTGTTACTCAGGTATTCTGCAACGCTGGGGCCATTGCTGTCCCTCTCTGAGCCTCAGTTCTGCCTCCTGTAAAATGAGCCAAGCAATGTGCTCAGCCAACGACCTGAGATATTTGAGGTGTCGTATGCAGGGCTAGCCCCCAGACTGGGTGAAGTCCCTGCTGCTCCTCCTCTCCTGCCTGCAAGTGCCATTTTGTCCTCTCTGGAAAACTCTTATTTATCCTTCAGAACCCCAGTGACCAACTCCCTACAGCTCTCCTTTGTCTCTTCAACTCCTCCAGGACTGTTACTCACATGAGCCCAGTCCTCATACTAGCTCTGGAAGTATCTGTGCCTGGCTCGCTCTCTCTTCTTGCCTAGGGAGTCCTTGAAGGCATGGTGGGCAGACAGGAGGTGCTGGGAGTGTTTGTTGAGTTAATAAAAGAGTTCAAAGAAAAAGATGTTTTGTTGGACCTTGGACAATGGGGCGTCTTGGAGAATGTGTAATCTGAACAGGGCTTGAGTTAAAGACTTTTCAGGAGCTGTCTTGGGGATATCTGTGCACAGCCTGGCGGATGGGGCTCCTGGGGACAGCTGGCAGGGCAAGGCCGGAACCTGGAGGATAGTCTCAGCTGCTGGCTTTGGTTTCATCCTGCGGTAGCTGAAGATAAGGGCTGTTCTAAGGGGTCTGAGGGCAAAGTCTGGGATAGAATGAGGCTGTGGGGAGGGGACCAACATCAACAGTGTCATGAGTCCCCTTAATCATGTCCACCCCAAGACTGCTGGAATCTGGAAAGAGAGTGTCAGAGATGAAGACAGGGCAAGACAGAGACCTTATGAGACCAACAGAAGAGGGCTGGGTGACCAGAGCCAGAGAGCCAAAGAGAGGGAGCAATGACAACCACCGAAAGAAAGAGAAAAGATAGGGACTTAGAGAGAGAAGTGGGGGTCAGGAGGAAGACAGAAAAACTGAGAGGGGGAGAGAGAGAGACAGACTTAAAGAGAAGAATGGAGAGGGAGAGGTTCGAAGGGAGGAAAGATAGAGAACGAGCACATCTCTGTGGAAAGGTCAGCTGACCGGGAGGAAGTTCTGCCACAGCTTGTCTCTCGCGCTGTCTACCCGCCGGCTTCCTCCTTGGCTAAATCACCGAGCTGACTGTGTGCACACCAAGGCCTTATTCTGGACCCACTTCCCTCCCAACCTCAGGGAGCCCTTGTTCTAGGGAGGCAGAGCCTCTGTGAGGACCCAGTCGGAAGTCAGGGTTGGGAACCGTTGGGGAACTGCACTGTCTCAGCCCCTGTGACCTTGAGCACATCTGGGTCTGAGTCTCAGCGTCCTTAGCTGGCAGACCATAGAACCACCACGTTTTGACCTTCACTGGCCTGTAAACGCTGCCACCTCAGCCTGGCCTCCTCTGTCGCAGCTCTTTAGAACACTTGAAAACCGAAGCCTCTTGACCCAAGATCCTGGGCCAGACAGCATGGCCTTGCATTTGACCTCACCTTACCCTTCTGGAATGCCCTGTTCCTTCTCCATCCCCCCTCACTGGGGCATCCAGGCATCTGTTACTGGGGTCCTGCTCCCAGGCACTCCTGCCATCAGCCATGAACCCCTGTCCACTGTTCTGGGCACTGCTGTTACTGGGCCCCTGCACTAGTGCTGGTGCTGGTCCCCCTGGCCCTAGCCCCATGCTCCACGCTGAGGGGCCACTGGACAAGCTGTGTAGTGCCCACTTTATGGGCATGTTGGTGGGACTCTGCCCTCACACAGGGATTGGTGTTGCTGTATGTTGCACCGTCAAAACCAACTCACAGCTGACCTTCCACCAGCCTTTCAGAATCAGCTAATCACATAGAAGGGGACTGACCATCCTTCTCCCTCAGAGAAGCTAGTGGATTCAAACTGCATGCCTTTGGGGTTGCAGCACAGTTTCTTACCACTAGGCCACCAGAGCTCCCTCATTTTCTAAAGACTATGACCGAGGTCACTCACATGGGGTCATGGTCACTCCTACGAGGTGTGGTCACTCTCACGGGGATGTGGTCACTCACACGAGGACATGGTCACTCCTATGGGACGTGGTCACTCACATGGGACATGGTCACTAGAAAACTGAACAAGGTCGTGTGTGTTCTTTTGGGTCTCCTGCCACACAGGATTAGGGCAAGGCCAGCAAGGCTGAGCTGTGCTTGGTGGGATCCTGTGTTTATTTACAACGTTTCTATTTAGAGGTGCAAGAGGATGAATGGAAATCAGAATTACAGAGAGGAAGTGAAAAAAAAACATGAGAAAGAGTGATCAGTTTGTGGATCTTGAGACTGATGGTCTTGAACCAAATGTATAGGAATGATTGGTTGAAAAAGTAATTGGCTATCTAAACTACCCCTCAAATCATAAGAGAAAGAGAAATGGAAAATAAACACAAACGAGAAAGAAATCAAATGCTCTTATTTTGACCTTTGTGTGTGGATATTATAAACTGAACTGTGCCCTCTTCTCCCCAACTGTTGTGTGTTGTCTAGTCTGAACCAACCCATAGCTGACCCTCCAGTGGGTTTGCAGAGGCTGTTAATCTCATGGGAGGAGACTGTCTGTCCTCACGCAGAGCAGCTGGTAGATTCAAACCGTGTGCCTTTGGGATTACAGTGCAACTCTCACTGGAGTCCTTCTCTCCCAAATATGTGCTGTGTAAACCTTGCCCCTAAAATCTGTTGCCACCCACTGAATAGTATTAGAACTGCATCCTGTAGGGCTTCCAAGGTGGTCAATCATCTTGGATGCAACATGCCACATCTTTTTCCCTCCCAGTGGGATGGTTCTAACTGCCAATCTTTCTATTGTTTGTTGTTGTTGTGTACCATCGAGTTGGAGCCGACCCATAGCTGATCCTCCAGTATTTTTTTAGAAGCAGTTAATCAGCTGGGAGAAGATTGCCCATCCCCCTGGAGCAGCTGGTGGATCCAAACCACTTGCCTTTGGGGACTGCAGCACAGCTTCTTGCCACTAGGTCACCAGAGCTCCAATTTATTGGTGTTTTTAGGTGCCATCGAGTTGAGTACAACTCATAACGACCCTATGAACAACAGATCTGAATCCTGTCCTATCCTGGGCCATCTTCAGCCTATGAATTGCCCCATCATTGCTCCCTAACCCCTGCACCTGTGCTATAACCCATTTTCGAATAGGTTTTATTATGTTAACCACGCATTTAGTGTAGGAGGAGGTGACTTCAGCCAATCACCTTCAACATATAAAGCAAAGGGAGCTCTAGTGGCCTAGAGGCAAGAAGCTGCGCTGCAATCCTAAAGGCGTGGGGTTCGAATCCAACAGATTCCCCACTGCAGAAGGAGGGGCAATCTCTTCCTGTGCCAGTTGGATCTGATTTGATGGTACACAACAAGGAAAATCCCAAAAGACGTAAAGAGAGCAGATTGGCACAGCAAAGCTGATGCCATCCACGTCACTGGAACTGTACCAAGGAGCCAAGGAATAGACAGACACTAGAAAGGGACCAGGCCCCTCCTCAGTGCAGTCAGAGTGCATCTTCCCCTAGCACCGGCTCTGAATCCCAGCTTCCAGGCTCCTGACCGTGAAGAGAACACATTTCTGTTCCCAAAAGCCCCCACTTTGGTATTCCAGAAGCACTTCCTCTTGTCATGTGCAGTCCAGTCTGAAATGACCCAGAACAGTCCCTCCAGCGAGTTTTGAAGCTGTAAATCACACAGGAAGAGACTGCTCATCTTCCTTCCTCAGAGCAGCTGATGTCTGTGGGTTAGCAGGGCAATTCCTTACTCACTCGACCCCGGCAGTACTGGAAAAGCGGTGGATTTTTGCATTCTGCTTGATTTTTAAAACTATTTCTTTCATACTCAGGTTTCACTCTGGAATTTATCAATCTTTGGTCCTTTACCAAGGATTTCCAGAGCTGGAGTTATTATGAGTTAAACTGTTGTATACCGATGAAAGAATTTTTCTTTTACTTTTCAAAGAGAAGAATGAACTGGAGGGGAGGGGCGGGCAGGGAGAAAAGTGCAATGAATGAATGAATGAATGAATGGAAATCCAAAATCTCTGTAAATTTTCATTAAAATTAATAATAATAAAACATATTTTTAAAAATACTGCCTTCAAAATATAATTCATTCTGATGGCTGTTTTGTACCCTAACTTTAAATTCTGCCCCGGCCTCATTCTCCTTCACCCCCCACCTCTCGGCCCTGGAGTGGGATGTATATAGCAGGCTTGTGTACGTGGTGACACATGTGTGTTCTGTGTGCTTCTGTAGAACACTGGCTGAGGGGGTCCTCAGAGGTGCACATGGGGAGGGGTTCAGAAGGGTGCTTGGAGGGTTTGTACTGCCAAGGGAGTATGTCACGTGCCCCCACTATGTTCTACACTCTGGGGCATCAGTGGGGTCTGAATCCCTCAGCTCCAGGACCTCCATCCCCCTCAGGGCTTAGATTGCATGTGTCGTGTGTGTATGGCTAGAGCTATGCATCAGCTGACAGGTGCCTGGAATACAGTGGGTACTTACTACATGCTTGCTGTTTATATTTGTGTGCACAGTGTGTCACATAGGGAGCTTAGGTGTCCTACTGGGTAAGAGATTGCCCTGCCAAGTCCAAAGGCAGGGGGTTTGGGTCCACATCATCTCGTCCCATTGAATTTCCAGCTTCGGAAAACCTACTGGAGGGTCAGCTATGAGTTGGTTCTGACTCACAGCAGTTGAGAGAGCGAGGGAGAAAGAGAATGTTATTTGGCAGGGTGGGTGTGTAATTTGTTAACTCAGTGGGGAAGGGGATCTTCTGGGGTCCCCTTCTCTTCGCTGAATCTTGCTGTCCCCAGGTGAGGTGCTGAAGTGGCTGGCTGTAGGAATGACACGTCGATGGGACGGAGGCCTGTGAGAACCCTGAACTGGCACCTGGCCCACAGCCCCTGCCTCAGCCTTCTCGCCATCACCACCAGCACTCATGGCCATTGCTAATAACCCTGCCTATCACTGCTGTCTCAGTGGTTGCCCCCTCCTCAAGTGCAGCCTTGGGGGGAGTTCAAAGCCCAAAGAAGTCTGGCAAGTTCCTGAGTTAACACCCAGCTTTTTGTTTTGAGGGCACTGTTGATTACCTCTGGGGACAGGGTACTCACCATCAGTGAAGCCAACTGGAGGAGCAAACCTGCATCCCAGTCTGGCTTGGAAGGTCCCTGGTTGTACAAAGATGCCAGAACTGCAAGGGGCGGACGTCCTCATCCCAGATCCTACTCTCAATACCTTGGGTCTCCCCTTTCTTCCTCTCCAGTAGTAAAGGAATAAACTTCTTATGGAACTCAAAAGTTTCTTGCATTTTCTCCTAATAAAGTGAACAAGACTGTACAAGACCTCTCAATACGTTCAGAAGCTTGATAACAATCCAAGTGCAGTTCCAACCCAAAATAAGATGGTCACATGTCCGCGGTCAGACAGATTAGAACCTAGGACTCTACTGAGGCCCATGAGAGGCAGAGAATGATGGACACAGCCCTCAAATGTTAGAACGACAGAGTAGAGTGTATTGAAATTAGTCCGGAGTTTTCCTTTCATCCTGAGATGGGAAGCAGGAAACCGAGGCAGGCCCAGTGTGCCCCTCAGGCAGGAGCAGTGAGAATCAGTCTTGGGATATATACAGGCTGAGGGCAATAGGGAGCGATGGAGGGTGTGTGAGCAGGGTCGGGATGAGGTTGGATCTTCAGGGTAGAAAGCCCTGCAGCCCCTACTTCACCCATTTTGTTTCAACTAGCTTATTTTCTACTGGGGACTGGACTGGTGGAAATGGTTCACCTGCCTGCCTGCTAAACAAAATGTTGGAGGTTTCAGACCACTCACCTGGTGATTTGCTTCTAAAAACCAGCCATTGAAAACCCAGTACAGTACTCCACTGAGAAAATCTTCATAACTTAAAGCAGAAGTCTTCTTTATCCCCTTCAAGTCTTCTTAAAACAAGCAACAAACTAACTTGTTAAAAAACAGCAACACAACAAACCCCTCTGCCTTATATGTTCTTTTAAGAGCTATGTATGGAGTCAAACTGACAAAAGCAACTTGAAAAATTAAACAGGGGCCTTTGGGGCAGTGAGCTTGTATTAATGGATGAGGGACAATGTAGAAAGAGAGGGTGAGAAGGACGTCACACAGGAAGAATGTCATCAATGTCACTCTGTACATGCCAAAACTGTTCAAATGGTGCCTGTTTTTTCTGTGTGTTTCTCAACAACAAATTTTTTTTTATTTTATTTCATTACTTTTTGTGTGTACCGTCAAATCAGATCTGACTGATACAGGAGGAGATTGTTCCTCCTTCTCCAGCAGAGCATCTGGTGGATTTGAACCGTGTACCTCTGAGATTGTAGTGCAGCTTCTTGCCACTAGGCCACCAGAGCTCAATAAGGGTTTTCTCTGTCCAGAATGCAAACCCTATGGAGCTCAGTTCTACTCTGATGTGCATGCAATGACCACAGGTCAGAGCTGATTTGATGGCAGCTAGTTCTAATTTCTACTGGGAATGGGTCAGAGTCATTCTGACTTGATGGCACGTGACAACAATAGTAACAATTGGAAAAGAACCTTTTTAGGATGAATGTAAGCTGGGTTGTATTAAAATTTGTAACTAGTCATTATTTTTGTAACTTGTTTTTTTAAAACAAATTTTTAAAAGCATCTGTTGTTAAGTCACTTTGTGACTACAGCAACCCTATATACAAGTTTTTTAATTTCCATTCATTCATTTTTGTATTTTTCTCCCTGCCCACCCCTCCCCCCATATACAACCCTTCTGAACCCTGCTCTATCCTGAGCCAACCTCATTCTCTCTGACACACCCACCCCCATTACCCCAGACACTGAGTGAAAAGGCATCTAGGTCTTCAAAAAATATTTTATTCCCCAAGGGCTCACTCACCAGTGTTCCCTCCACCTAAACACCTGCCTCAGGCTGATCAAAGCTCTCTTGACACCCCCAATCAGTGAGGCATATGGGCTGAAGGGACCATGGCATATGAGCCCCAGCATCCCAGAGAGCTCGGGGACACCTGAGGACTTGCACCGCCTTTTCTCTGGGCACTGGATGACCATGTGTGCTAGCCTCAGACCCACTGAAGACTCCTTGAGCTCCAACACTGACTCTTGAATTTTTGGGGTGTTCAGGTGCAGGGAAGAAGTCCTGCCACCCCAACACCCTCCCTCCTCTGTCCAGTGCTTCTGCTGTCAGAGCTCAGCAAGGAGGCGCGATGCAATGCAAGGGCTACTTGACCCCTCCCACCGCCTGAGGGGTCCAGGATGGGGCAGGGGCCACTGACAGGACCTCTCCTCTCCAGGCTAAAGGATGCTTCTCATTCCATGTGGACCCAGGAATTCCAGGCTTGCCCTGAACCACAGTGGGGACTGTTCCACCGCTACCCGCTGTGGGCTCACTACCAAGGAGTAGCTGGCCACTGCTTAGGGTCCAGGCTGAAACAAAAGCTGGTGCTGGGAAGGGGGACCTTGACCCAAAAGGCACTGAGAAGACCACAGCAGTCACTTCCACCATCAGCAGCCACTGAAAGGAGATGTGCATTTTCACATGTGCTTTCAGCTGAAAGTCTAGGGTTTTGAAGGATGCATAGGAGTCTGCCAAACAGAATCTTCATTGTCTAAACTCCCTAACATTACCTCATTCCATGGCCACTTAGATGTAAAGGTCACAGCATCCTGGGAGGAGGAGGGTACTATTCTTTCCTTTTCAAGAGGTATGAAAGCTGGGTCTCCCCAGTTTTGCCTCAAAAGAGCTGTGTCCTCTTGCCACAGGCGAGGTCAGGCTGGCTCAGTGCATCCCACATGAGCAGCATCTCATAGGGCAGGAAGCGATGCACCAGTAGCAGCTCCTTGTAGAAGCAGGGGTCAAAGGAGGGCAGGCGCGGTGAGGGCGACTGTAAGCCCCCCGTACGGATGCCGCTGTGCCGGGTGGGCTTCAGGCCCTCGTGCTCCAGGCACATGCCCAGGAAGACATCGTCAATCGGGAAGAGGTCCAGGGCGCTGGCCGCGCGACGCAGGGCCGCGGCCGTGAAGGAGGAGAGCAGGAAGCCGCCCCCTCCACAGTAGGGCGGGTAGCGCTCGTTCTGTGTGACCATCTTGGGTATGTAGTACTTGCTCCAGGGGACGCGGATGGGGCCCACATTCTCAATCAGGTGCCCCACGAAGAGGTGGCGGCTGGGCTCATGGCCTTGCAGGTAGGCAACCATGTTGTCAGTGTGCGTGAAGACGTCATCATCCCCGTTGAGGAGGAAGCTGGCATTGTTGCAATGTGTCTCCTGCCACTGGAGGAACAATGCCTGCAGGTGGAATGGGGAGAACACATGGGGTGTGAGGGCTGCAGAAAGGACACACGCCCGGTTAAGAGGTGCTAGATCATTCCCAGTGGGGTGATCCTGGCAGCTGACTAGTGTCCCTTCCTGTCCCTCAATCTCCAACCCTCCAACAGGTCCTGCCTCTAGGACATTACTGGGGATTCTCGAAGCTGGTACTTGGCAAAATACTAAAAACTGCTTAGAATCTGTCATGTGTGTGTTGCTCTTTCTTCTGTTTCTGCTATGTGAGCATTAGTACTGGTTTCTAACACGAGGTTCTGTTCTCCGTGCCTCAGTTTCCAACTCGCCAGTAGGTCTTGACACAGGATTTGTCTCCGGTGTGCGAAGATTGACAGTGTTCTACCAAGCACTGAGAGGAGCTGGGAAGACTGTCCCATTCACATTAATTGCTACTTCTTCCAGCTCAGCCGAGTTCCTGCTGCACTGTGAAAATGATCAGTTGTGTGATTGTTTTTGAACATCGTCTTCCCTACTGTGACTCCCCCAGATCTGTGTTCCCCTCTCGGTGTGCCTTCTCTCCAGCATCAGGGTAAGGCTAACACTTCAGAGGTGTTTTACTCCTATTTTCCAGGTGGTCAATAGTCAGACACGTGTGTGTGTGTGTCATTTTGCAAACACAGCATGCTGAGATTTGTGGTCTCCTCCACCCTCCTCAGCCTGTTTCTCCCTAGTAACTCATTTAGTGTCAGCATTTGCTGCAAGGAGGCACTGTGCTCAATTTTTGCCTTACTAAAACCCTTAATGCAATCTGAGGGTGCTTAATTGTCTTACTCTTAGAAGACAGACATGGTTGTTAATGCCATTTGAATAAGCAGCAGTGGAGGATCCCCTGGCAAGGTTCTCAAAGTTACACAGCAGAGTGATAATGCTAATCATTGAATCCAGACCAGCCTTTACTCACCCTGAGAAAATGCCTGCACTGGGCCTCTTTCAACAAGTCATTTTTTTTAAAATTTTATTTTATTTCATTATTTTCTGTGTGTACCGTCAAATCAGATCTGACTGATACAGGAGGAGATTGTTCCTCCTTCTCCAGCAAAGCATCTGGTGGATTTGAACCGTGTACCTCTGATATTGCAGTGCAGCTTCTTGCCACTAGGCCACCAGAGCTCGCCTCAACAAGTCATTTTGACTGTGCTTGCTGCACCCACAAACCTGGGGTGGGCCCCTGAAACCTCCAATTTCTTTCCTGCAAGATGAGACCCACATTCCCAATCAGGTGTCCCACAAAACCTATTTATTTCTTGCCTGCAAGATGGGCAGGATTCCTTCTACTTCGAGGTCTTTATTAAACAACTAATGTGTGCTAAACTAAACCCTAGGCACTGATAACACAGAGGTGAAAGAGACAGACATAGACACAGCCCCTGAATAAAAAGATGTGTCCCTCCTCCTCCTCCTCTTCTTCCTCCTTTTTATTCCTGTAAATTCGGATGATAAGCATCATCAAACAAAAACTAAAATAAATCCCAAAACCCGGAACCAATGGCCATCAAGTAATTTCTGATTCATGACAACTTCTCATGTGCTCCACCAAGTTCTCAAAACTGTGACCTTTCAGAAGCAGATCACCAGACCTTACCTCTGAGGTACCCCTGGGTGAGTTCATACTGCCAATCTTTTGATTAGTAGTTCATTACTTAATTCCTTTCTAACCATCACCTCCTGTAATCCTCGCAAGAGCCCTCAGAGGTAAGGGTTGAGAAGCCAATTAATATCCCACTTCCCAGATGAGCAAACTGAGACAGAGAGAGAACACATTTTTCCAAGGTCCGACAATAAGTGAGAGGCAGAGCTTGGATTTGAACGTGGGCTCCTGAGCTCTGAGAATGATGCTTGAGATCTTACACCTTCTCAGCATTGAGATCAATGTATGTAATCTCTCTTTGGTCTCCTCCCACAGTCCAGATTAGAACCCTGGTCTACAGACCCGATTCTAACCTCATAACACCCTTCTGTAGTCACTGTCATCTAGACTCAAGCCTTGGCTACTGGCAATGGGGCCATTAGGATCCATGTCACCCCTGTAGGGTATTTCATGAGGTAACTGTCCCCTGCCACCATGGACCCTCTGTCCCAGACCACACAGAATCCTTAGTAATGTTCATTTGTATCAATATTACTGAGGAATTCATTATTCAAAATGGCTTTCCTAGCCACTGAACTTACTTTGCCATGTGAATGGGTGGGACTATGCAAATAGGATGTGTTAGCCTATAGGGGATTGGCTAGTCTCACCAATAAATTGAGTGGCTCCACCAGCATATCTAGATCTTCTCTGCCAGCCAAGAGGGAAGAAGAGAATGTAATAGGCCCTTCGGACCTAGAAATTCTTGCTCTAGCTGTACCTACAGCAGCAGAAGCCAAGGCTGAACCAGACAGAGAACAACATGAGATGGAGCTACCCTGGAACTGCTACCCACCATGGGAAGAGGCAGAAAGAAGCTAAGAAGAGCATTTGCCCAAGTTTACTGGACAACTAAGGATTTGGGAGGAATAGCCAATATTGAATGGCAGAACTGAGAACTTTGGAACACTGGCCTAAAGCCATGAGTCTCAAGGCTGAAGTGCCTGTGAATACATTTTGTAAGCTGTCCTGATTGAGTGGCTGTACTTGACTACTCACCTGAAGCCTTTTGACTTCCTCAATATGGTTCTGTGAGCTACCACACTGGATTTAGGACACAGAAAAGCAGTAAAGATTGGTTTTGAAATGAGTAAAAAGAGGACCAGGAGTATAGGGGACATGTCTGACCTCATGGGAACTGGTTTTGTGCTACTGATGTGGTTGACAGGGACAGTTCCCCTTTGTGAAGTCAGTAAAGGTCAGATATGGTCATCGCCACAATTGTAATTCTCTAAATGTTACTGAATGTCATGACAATATTGTGGTTATGTGTCAGAATCAACTCACAGTTGACTCTCCAGCATGTTTTTCCATAAGCTGTGTATCACACAGGAGGAGAATGCTCATCTTTCTCCAAGGAGAAGCTGGTGGATCTGAACCAGCTGCCTTTGGGTTGTTGGTGTGACTCTTTACCACTAGGCCACCAGAGCTCCCTATAAATGGCACTACTGTGACATAAACAACAAACAAAATGGACATCTTTAAATGACAATAGCGTATGCACAGTCCTAAACATATTTCTATTTATGTAGTTTCATGTGGTTAAAGTGAAATTTGGTAAGAAAACAGTAGACTTCAAAGTAAAAACTTTTAAGAAGTACATCAAAATTAGGTTCATTTTACCATGACACTTACATGAAATACATTAATGGATTAAGTTTACAAAGTAAAAAACAGCCCGAATAATTGTAAATTGCTTTTGCCTAGTGGGTTTACGGAAGGAGTTCTTGTGGCCCTGTCCAGAGAGTGTTGCTCTGCTAACTCAAAAACCTCTTCTCTGGTGGTTCAAATCCACGAGCAACTCCTGGGGAGAAAGATGAGCAATCTTCCATTCTATTTACAAACTCTGAAATCCAAAGAAGGGTCAGTTGTGAGTCAATTCCCACTTACTGGCAATGACGTATTTATTGCCAGGTGTAATGTAATGTTACTTCCATAACAGCTTGCCTCCAGAAACCCAATGGACCTGGAGAGAGGATGAAAGACACCCAAGCGTTGAGGACTCTCCTTCACAGGTTGCTAAGAGTCGCCTGCGACTCGAGGGCAATTAATAACATTAACATCAACATAGAGAGAGATCAGCTGGCCCAGTGGACAGGAAGCGATGCTACCAAGCCAAAGGTGGGTGATTTTTAATCTGCAGCCCTCGGGCCTGTCTTTCATTGTTTTTGTTCAGACATTCCTCTAGGTTGTATAGCCCTGGTGTAGAAGTTGCCATACAGCAGTAACTTGTGGTTACTGTGAGGTTGAACACTGTGACACTGATGTATCAAATGCATTAATGGTTGGTTACCCAATGCTGACAGAGTGGGGTGGAGTTCCCCGATTAAAACAAGCTTGGAAGGAGGAGTGGCATCCACTTCCATAATACCTTGCCTCCGGAAACCCTATGAACCTGGAGAGAGGATGAAAGACACCCAAGCCTTGAGGACTCTCCTTCATAGGGTCACTATGAGTCGCCTGCAACTCAACGGCACTTAACAACAACAACAACAACAACAACAATGTAGTGGCAGGTATATTGATATGTGTGTGTACAAAGGCCTGGGCTTATGAAAAAGATCTGTGTTTTAGCATAGTATTTTAGAGATATTTTAATAAAAATGAGTACATTTCTGGTGAAACTGCACAAAAATTTTATATAGATAGTTTCGTATCATTGCCTCTGACAGCTTCTCTTTGTGGGCCACTGGCTACTGCGCTCTGAATTCTGTGCTTTTAATGTCAACAACTCCACTTCCATCCCTTAGATCTGAACCTGCGTCATCATGCTCCGAGATCTAAGCTCTTAACTGCACACCCTGCCTGACTTGTGATCGTGCCAGCCATCCTTTCTTCCCAGTCACCCTGTGAAAGGGAACCGTGAACACAGTCATGGGGTGAGGAGGTGGGTGGCAATGAGGCAGGAAGGTCAGGTGATCTCAGGCAGCCACCACTTACCTACCTGCTTTAGTGTGAGGTTGAAGAAGGTGTCGTGGAAGTCCCATTGCAGGATGTCGCCGTGCGCACGCGCCTCCAGCGCCAGCAGCCGGTTCACCTTGCGGGCCTCCAGCTCGCGGGGAGCCGTCCCCACCAGGAAGAGGCGCCGCACCCGGGCGCCCTGCACCTCGCGCTCGCGGCCCCACGTGCGCCGCACCATCTCTCGCCGCTCATAGTTGGCGGGCGATGATTTGATCACCAGCAGCAGGAAGACCGGCTGCGTGCACTTGCTGGCGGACACCTACTGCAGCAGGGGTAAGTTGTGCTTATACAGCAGCAAGTTGCGCACCTGCTTCGGCTGCCCGGTGAAATCCAGCTGGGCGGCTACCGAGTTGTTCGCCTGGCCCAGGGAGGGTGGCGAGCTGTGAATCAGCACGGGCCAGGCCACCATGGCCTTGGCAGGACTGGGCGGCTCCTCCGGGACCTGGCAGGCAAGGAGGCCGAAAAGAAAAGCGAGAGAAGAGTGAAAGTACCCAGGACAAGGGCCAGGGCCAGGCCCACACTGGCTCCCGAGGGCCGGAAACACCTCATTCCACCTGGCAGGTGCCTGGTGGGGGGTCCGGGGCAGTCGGAAAAGGCCCCTCCGCTGCTCCTGTGAGAACAAACCTGGCTCAGCTCCGGTGATGTGCACAGGGCTTTCCCTGAACCATGCTATTTGGGGTTGAATTGCATCCTCCCCCTGCCCCCCTCAAAATAATAGGCTGGCATCTTCACCTCTCACCTTGTTTGACCTTGACCTTGTTTGGAGATAAGCTTCTTGCAGATGTTCTCAGGTTAACATGGGGTCATGCTCCAGTCTAAAGGTCCTAATTCAAGACAATAGGTGTCCTTATAAAAAAAAAACGAAGAAAGCCTTTGATGATTCCTCACAACTTGAAACAACCAGTCATCCCAGTCCTGCAAGCTACCCAGAAGTGGAGGCAGGACACAGGTACAGCTTTGCATCCCTGTTAACTTCAGCCCTTTTCACAAGCGGTAGACACAGTCACATCATCCATCAACAGAGGAACGGATACACCACGATGTGGTCTACACACACAATACAGTACTATCAGCCATATAGAGACCAGGGCTACTGTAAGCGGCCACACAGGAGGACCTTGACATCAGGTGGTATAAAATTAGTCACTCACAGAGGGGCAAAACTGAGACAACCTCATTTATATGAAATATGCAAATAGATAAAACCCCAACGGTGCATAGTGGTTACCAGGGTTGGGCACGGGGAGGGGAGGAGGAGCTTTTCCTTAGGGAGCAGTGAATTTAGGTTAGCGGTGGTGGATTTATTTGGAACAAAGAAGGTTAATACAATTTGAAGGATGCAGTCAACGGCACTGTAATGTAGAAATTGTCCGGCGTTTGCTTTGTCATATGATTTTCATCACAGTAAAAAACATATAATAAAAAAAATTGCAAAGGAAAAAAAAGATACGACAGAGATAAGACAGATGCAGGAGAGGAGGCTATGGGACCGCGGAGGCAGAGACTGAAGCCCAGAACATCTGGAGTCACCAGAAACCAGAGGAGATAAGAAAGGATCCTGCAGGAATCTTCAGAGGCAGTTGGCCCTGCTGACACCTTGAATTTAGCCCCCTCAGAGGTGATACAGTCTGCTATTTTGAGCCCATTTTGGGTGCTTTGCTATAGCATCCCGAGGGCACTCAGACACATCTGTATGGACCTGGTTGAACACGGACAGTCACAGGTTGGTAAAATGCTGACATTCACCGCCATCAGTCCCCGCAGTTTTCTCTTCAGCACTCCAACCCATGCTGGCTCTGACACAGGAGTTAAATATTTTTGTCACTATCACACTTGGTAAACTACTCTGGGGGCTTAGCGTTTAAGGTTTTCCATTGCCGATCCAAAGGCAGGGGCTTCAAATCCACCAGCTGCTTCACAGGAGAAAGACAGGCAAACTCCTCCCATGTGACTTACTTAGTCTCTGAAAACCCACTGGAGGGTCAGTTATGAGTCGATTCTGACTAATGGCTCATAACACTCTCACTTGACACAGAGGTCACCAAGAAACAGAGCCCAGGATATGTTTCTCTGACTCAGTATGTTCAGAATCTCCCTGACCCCACCTGATCCTTCCCATTTTTCCATCTTGGAGATGGCCTAAGCGTCGCGTGGGGTGAAAACACTGCTCCAAAGAGAGAGGAAAGTCCCCTTTATTCAGCTGAGACCTGCTGTAAGTCTTCCTGTTTCCCTTTTCACTTGCCCTTCCAGGAAGCTCTGAACTTCTAGGTTTCTGATTCAACCACTGCCTCTTCTTCTTTACTTCTGTTTAAAATGATCCTCTGTTCTAGGGTGACCCTTGGCCCCTAGGGACCATAACGTCTCAAATTAAACTTAGAATATTCCTAGGTAAGTTCTTTTTTTTTAAATTTTTTTTTCAGGGTAAGTTCTTTTAAAACCCTTCTCAAATGACTCTTCCTGTGGGAAGACCTCCCTGATCTCTCAACCAGAGTCCTGACTTCCTGATTGGCACTTCTGGCCCCTGTATCTCCCTCTGGCTCAGCCCAGGTCCCACAGATCTTGTAGTATCTGTTTGGCTTTATCTTCCTTACTTTAGGGATCCTTAAGATTCCAACAATATCCAATATTAAGCAGGCATATAATGAGGTAGAGTTTTATGAATTCATGAGTACAAATAAATAGTTAATTTTTGGTCCGGCACACTCCTACACATCCTTCAAAACCCCAATTCTAAAGTTCCCTTTTGGAAGCTTTTCTTTTCTACCCAGGTAGGTAGAATTCTTAGTCTTCCCCTCCAGATCTTCCCCTCCCACACACACACAAGTCTCCCTGGACCCCCTGAGGTTTCTCTAATGTGAAAAAGTGGTGTCCGTGCTGATTTCCAGACTTGAATTGGAGGATCCACTTTCCAGTGCAGCATGAAATGCTGGGTCAGACCAAGCAAGTTCTAACCACTCAGCAAGCATTTGCCCGCTCACCCTAGAAAGGTACAGAACATCCTAGCATTCCACAGTAGAGAAGCTGGAACTCAGCCCTTCAGTCTGGATGTCAGCTCGACTTCTTCCTGGCTGTGTGCCCTCTATATGTGGGGCCTGAGTTTCCCTAGCTGTATGTAAATCAAGCATCCAAGAAGTCCCCAACTCCCAAGGGCCCAGGCCAGCACACAGTGGGCATTTATTCAATGAGTGTTTGTTGAATGAATATGTAAACATTAATGCTTTCCTTGAGTCTTCTGGGGTGTCTGTGCTGCCTTTGGTCTCCCTGATAGTACCTGGAACAATGTGGATCAGTCAGTGGATTCTGTTGGGCCCCATCAATCCCAAGATTCCACCTGGCAGTTTTTGGAGCACAAGGAAGGAATAGCTTCTCATCTGGGTCCACGGACTGAAGTTGGAACGGAAACTGTCTCTATTCTCCCACCTCCACTTGTCTAATGTATGAGGCCACTTTCCCAACATGCCCAAACCCTCTCCCTGCCTATTGCCCAGCCACCACCTCTCAGCTAGGTGGTCATGCAGCCCCCCAAAAGCCTCAGGCTCCATTCCCAAGGTGGGTACCACAGGGAAAGCAGCTTGAGCTGTCTGAATTTCAGTTATGTGAAATGTAAAAAAGGGGGGAGGGCAGAAAACCAACCCTATATAAGAGGGTTTTCACAGGATTTTATTCTCAAACACTCTAGGCACCATCTGGTTTTGGGGCCTCTGCACTGACTGTTCCCCTTTGTCTGAAATGCTGTTCCCTGTCTTGCCACGCAGCTCTTTCCTCATCCTTTCTTCCAGACTTTGCACACATCTCTCTTTCTCAGTGAGGCCCCCGGTTCCAATCCTGATTCTCTATCCTGGTCTACTTTTCCAGTAGAATTTTCCTTTCCTAAAACGTTGTTGTTAGCTGTCTTCAAGTTGATGCTGATTCATGGCAGTTCCACTTGTCAGAGAGGAACTGGGCTCCAAAGGGTTTTTAATGCTGTGACCTTTCAGCAGCAGATTGCCAGGCCTTTCTTTGGAGGTGCCCTTGAGTGAGTGTGAATGGCCAACCTTTCAGTAAGTAGGTGAGCTTAACATCTGAACTACCCAGGGACTTCTTACCCCCTATAACACATACTTTGGGCAAGTTGCTAGGAAAGACTATTCCTCAGAGGCCATCATGCTTGGAAAGGCAGGGGGATGGGGAAGGAGAGGAAGACCCTCAACCAGGTGGATGGACACAGTGACAGCAGCAATGGGTTCAAGTGTGTCAGGAAGTGTGAGAACGGCACAGGCCAGGCCAGGGTTCAGACCTGTTGTTCCAAGGGTCACTGTGAGTCATTCTTGATTTCACAGCACCTAACCACAACATAATACATATTATCATGTTTATCATTCTCCTTCTATGTGTCAGACACCTCCTGGGTACTGGGGGCCCTGAAGGAGATAGGATCTGGACACCCAAAAGCCTCTGTCCTTTAGAGTTCATGCGTCCAGTGGGAGAAAATGAAAAAAAAAAATTATGAAATGATCCATGAAGATAAAAACCAAATGAGGAGATGGAGTTTAGGGGGCTGGTTTGGGGCAGAGATCTGGCAAACAGAAGCCATCCTGGCTGAAGCCTAAAGTGGGTGTCACAGGGAAAGCAGAGCCCGTGTAAAGGCCCTGAGGTATGAGTAAGCTGGGAGAGGTGAGGGCCTGGTGTGGGAGTCATAGGGCCTATCTGTGGCTTGGCTTTTAGAGTGTAGGCACAGGAGCACCAGTGTCAAGTAAGAAAAGTCATCGGGTTAGACCTGAAGTTGATGAATGAGACACAATAAATGAATTCTACGTGTCTGCATAGAACTTTGTGTCCACAATCAATACACTTGGTACCAGCCATCAGATCAGAAGATCTATTACACAGGGAAAGCCTGTAGTCAAGGACCTCTCCAAATTATTGAGGAGCAAAGATGTTAGTTTGAGGACTAAGGTGAGCCTAATTCAGATAATGGTCTTTTCAATCACTTGTTATGCTGCTGAGAGCTGGACAATGAATATGGATGAGGAAGAAGAATTGATGCCTTTTGAGTTGTGGTGTTGGAGAAGAGTACTGAGTATCCCATGGACTGCCAAAAGAACAAACAGATACGTCTTGGAGAAAGTGCAGCCAGAGTTCTCCTTGGAGACACAGATGATACAGCTTCATCTCACATACTTTGGGCATGTTGCTAAGAGAGGCTATTCTTTGGAGAGGGACATCATGCTTGGAAAGGTGGAGGGTTGGTGAAAGAGGGGAAAACTTTCAACCAGGTGGACTGACGCAGTAACCACAGCAAAGGGCTCAAGTATGTCAGAAGGTGAGGATGGCACAGGGTAAGACAGGGCTCAGAATTGTTGTTCACAGGGTCACAATGAGTCCTACTTAACTTGACAGCCCCTAACAATAACAGCAACAAGAACAGAGAAAGCTGTACACATGTGCTCAATGCAGCTTTAC